AAGGAGGCTAGGATTTATAATTCGGGTAGGCTTTGGCTGACTTCGTGTCATCCCCCCGCCCCGTACTCGTTATTTTTCACATAAATCATTTAAATTTCAGATCCCTCAGTTTGCGTATAAATATCATTATTCAAATTTCGTTTAAAAACTTCAACACCAGAGACGAATAGTAACGTATGGCTTTAGTACAACATGCAGACATTAACCTATCGTCGACAGAGATACGATAACGAGACATTGATACAACAGATTCCATAAAATCTTTCGGTTTGCATAAAAAAATATATCATTATTCGAATAACGATTTTGAATTTACACCCACCAAACCAATAAAAACGTATGGCTAAGTATACCATGCAGGCATTAGATATATTGAGGGACCACTTATAACACCTCATATAAAAACAAACACGCTCTTTTCATGAGAAAACAAATATGTGAAGAAAAGTTTATTTGATGAGGAAAATTAGTCTCCTTTGATCTCGAATTAACTTGTTCAAAAAAAATCCTCAAACAGAATAAACAACTAATTAATTAGCTTACATTTCTAATGAATGTCAATCCTTTAATGAAATAAATGATAATTGATATTCTATTTAAAAAAATAATTTCCCCGAGTTATTATCTCCAGGTGATTGCTGGTAATTCTAGTGATTATATATAATAAAATTCCATTTTCATGAATTATGAATACTCACTAGAAAAAATGTCAAGGATTATACATAATAACTGGAATGAAGATACAATGAAAATCATATTAAACCATCTTTAGAAGCATAAATATTAAAATATTAAGCACAATACTCTGATATAAATCATTAATTTCTACAAACTGCATTCGGTAAATTTGGACGACGTCTACTATTGCAGATTTACCAATCACTGATTTTCGTTTTTTTATTTGCAATAACATCCACTTAAAAAAAAGCCTTGTCCTTCACATATTTAATATTATTTTAACGCACGTTGAAGAGAAAAAAAGTGTTCATTAAAAACATCTGAAGGCACCGCAAAAGTGAATCAGCCATCACAAATTGATTTTTGTGTATGATCCGAGCAAAATTCTATATTTCGTAGCCAGGCAATATCCTTTTCAGTCCGTTCATAAACAATGGACATTATAGTGTTTGGGTCTCCCTTTCCACGATTAATATGCGGAATCGGTATCAAAACTTTACAGCCAATGTTTGTCTCCTCCATAATTGTGTTCAGTCTGTCAATGACGTATATGTTAGTCACACGTCCTTGAGTCTGTCAATCATGCGTTCTGTTTGTTTTTCTGTACGTTTAGTTGCATAACTTTGCTAGGTTTGACACCAAGTTACATGTACTGTGTATTTTCATCCAGAACATAAATGCGCATTTCATACTTTCAACAATACCTTCCGTTATCTAGATGATATTTTTTCGCTAAACAATCCAGAGTTCTCTAAATATACTACCGAAATTTACCCAAAAGAACTTACTTTAACTAAATCTAACATAAGCAGCAGTAGTTGTCCTTTTCTGGATTTGGACATTTCAATCTCTAAAGGAAAACTCCATACTAAAATTTACGACAAAAGAGATGACTTTTCATTCCCTATTGTTAATTTTCCTTTTTTAGACGGCGATGTTCCTTTGGCTCCATCATACGGTGTTTATATATCCCAACTCGTTCGCTATGCCCGTGTGTGTAGTGATGTCATAGATTTTAACGAACGTAATCAATGCATCACTGGTAAATTATTAAGTCGGGGTTACCATAAATTACGTAAAACTTTTACTAAATTCTTTCATAGATACAAAGATTTGATTAGTAAATTTGGCTGTACCTGTAGAAAACTGATTAAAATTGGTATTTCACATCCTAAATTTTACGGTAATATTGTACTTAAAGCGCGGAAATCACTATGTGATCCGTGTAAACTCATCGAACCTTTAAATAAACTTATAAGTGAAGGTTATCTTAACAATGTTGTAATTAGATCTTTGAATATAGTTTACATTGGCACTAATATCGATTTTGTCATCAGCAAATTAAAACATAACTAAATTTGTATTCTTTTCAAACGGGATGTATAAAGACACACCCACGTTCATTTTGATCTATAAAGTGGTTAAACTCCTAACTATCTTACTGTCTGTCGATACATTTATTTTTGGCATTGCACAAGTCATGTCTTCTTTGACTGTCCATGACGTTAAAATACTAAATCCCTGGGATGTGTTTTTGTTGATTTTAGTCTCTGATGCATGATTTTTTATTATTAATTGTTTTGGCTTTTAACTAGCTGTCAGTAACTGCGAGTACTCTCAAAACGTACTTTCTTGTTTATTTGACTTGTTGATACTAATTGTAATGATTTTTTGTTATTTAATGTTATCATAGTTATTCAGGGTTATATCTGGTCTATATACCAGCTTTGATAAGTATTTGGTATTACTATTAATTTTCACTTCGTAAAATGAACATCAAAATTATTAATTTTGTAAAAATATTTCCTTTCTCTATTGGAACTGTACAAGTATACCTAACAACAAAATTATTTTCATTTACCTGTGTTTAAAATAATTGCAAATGGCTGATATTTTTGTTCGAGCATATTGTTTTTCTTAAAATGTTTTAACATTTCATACCGATATAACATGTTATTTTTATTATTCTTCCCTTAGTTTATTTATTTTGTATTTGCATTGTATCATAGGTCAAATTTATTTGTTCATTGTATGTTCATTGGTGTTAATATGTCCTTTGATTGAGTTAAGCTATTTCAGTTGATATTTTATAGTATGTCTTTCTATGTTGTGATGTTACACAATCGTTTCAGAAAAAAGGGTGAAGGTTTGGTACCATTAAAACGTTTAAACCCGCTGCATTTGTTTGTACCTGTCCTAAGTCAGGAATCTGATGTTCAGTAGTTGTCGTTTGTTGATGTGGTTCATAAGTGTTTCTCGTTTCTCGTTTTTTATATAGATTAGACCGTTGGTTTTCCCATTTGAATGGTTTTACACTAGTAATTTTTGGGGCCCTTTATAGCTTACTGTTCGTTGTGAGCCAAGGCTCCGTGTTGAAGACCGTACTTTGACCTATAATGGTTTACCTTTTTAAATTTTTACTTGGATGGAGAGTTGTCTCATTGGCACTCATACCACATCTTCTTATATCTATTTGACGCTGTTTTGGGCAAACAATAAATCCATGGCATACATGTGCAGTTATCACTATATTTTAGAATGTTGGTATTATTAATTTCAATTTTGAAAACTTGTTTGTTTATGAGATTATGTGGTTCAAAACAGTTAATTACCATATCACTCGAAAAACTGTTCCCTTTATATTTGATAAATGGACAGGGTATGAAAATTGTCCACTTAAACATTAAAACCGTAAGAAATAAAGATGATTTATTTGTCTTTATTTGATTTATTTTTTAATTAACAAAGGTTCTTTGTATTATTGTATTATTGATAATCCCTGAAATAATATCAGGGAATCTGTAAAATAATTCTTAAATTTTTTAGTGATTATGTTAATTCACTGGTCATTTTCAGGGATTATATATAATCACTAATAATTTTAGTGTTTATGCATAATTCCTGAAAAATCAGGGAATCTACATGATCCCTGATTATACAAATTCACTGTAACATATACAAGGTAAAAATAATTCACAATTACAAAGGTCACATTTATAAATGGAAGATACACCAAGCCGCCAATACCTGTTGAAGATCGTTTATGTACTTATTGCGCTGACAATAGTGTTGAAACTGAGAAACATTTTCTATTGAACTGTTGTCTATATAATGACTTAAGATTTGACCTTTACTCAGAATGTTCACAACATATTAATAGTTCGACAATTTGAATGATGATTTAAAATTTATACAAATCATGAACTTCTCCGAGATTCAGCCATTTTTATGTAAAAGTATTTATAAGTTTTTTATGCGACGTAAATTGTTTACATAATTTTTTACCGTTTTTCATGCGACGTAAAATGTTTACCTAAATTTTTAACCGTGAATAATTATCTTAATTAATTCTGTTTATTTAAATTATGCATATTAGGTTTTTTCGTGATATCTTAGCGTAAATATTTTCACATATATGTGTGAAGTTTTAGATATATGTAAAGTAAATATTTTTTTACGAAACATTTTTATATTTTTTTTTCACTTTAGTTTTATTCATCATGTTGAAAATACTCTTAAATCATAGTTTTTAGTTTTAAATATATAGTATTTCAAAGTATCGTTGGATTTTTAAGAACATGTATACATTTTGTGCAATGTGTCTCATAAGCCAAATTGATATGGCTGGGTATTGATTGTTCTATCTATGTTTTAATGATATTGTATAATATGTATGTCAATCAATATGTGACACAATAATAATAATAAAATAGATTATTATTATTATAAAGTTAATAAAGGTTAAAAAAATCATTAGCAGGCTTTCCATGTTAGCCTTTGTCTTTGTGTTGTTCTATATTGATCTTGTATGTAAATCAAATGTAACGTTTTATTCTGTCATGTACACAATGTAGTATGCACAGTTATAGTAATGTTCTATACTTTCATTCTTATTACAAAAGTTTATACAATGGTTTTAAAGAATCAAATTGTGCTGTAATGTCTTGTTTCCAATTGGGAAGATTCTTGACTTGGACAGACATACACCACTGTCCACGATAAAGGGCAGGGTTGGGCATCAGCAACTATTTTTAACACCACCGCCTCCTGTGTGTGCCTGTCCCAAATCACGAGCCTTTAATTCAGTGTTTGTCGTTTTTTTTGTTGTATTTGTTATTTGTTTTTGGTAAAAAAAAAATTTACATTAATCAGGCCGTTAGTTTTATCGTTTGAATTGCTTAACATTTGTCATCACATTAACCAGCGCATTCATTGCTTTCGTAGATCTTCGTGAACAATATGAATTGTATACATAAGTGTAACAGTGTATATGCTTATATCTAATAAACATAATGTGTGTTTCTCTCTCTCTCAAAAGGTACCCCGATAGTGGAATCCAGTGATTTTGTATTGAATGCTACGTTAGGGCAATCAATTTCAATGAAATGCCATATATGGTCGTACCCACATCCATCTTATACAGTGTGGAAACTAGAGGATAGTTTGCTATCATCCAGTTCTAGGTAAGGACTGTTTATTTTTTGCACGTCACTTGAAGATCTTTAGGTTATCTGTTGAATAATTTTTATATGATTCCATTTAAAAATATTTACTGTTGCATATCGTCAGAAGTTTAAATGTCATTATTATGGTTCGAATGTGTTATTATAAATTTGATTTTGGTCCCTATACTTCGAATTTGATACCAATTATAGTAAAGAAAATAAACAACAATCAACCAATCAATCAATCAACCAATTAATCAGTCATTCAAATCAAATAATCAGTCAATCAACGGAAAGATGTATTCAGTGCGAAAAGAGCTGTAGGGTTCAATAATGGTTAAAAATTTCGGAGAAAAAATGTTTACAGTTAATAAGCAGTTTTGTTTTAATTCTCAAACACCAATAAGTTATACCAGCATAAGGTCAAATGACGCAAGTTTGAATAAGAAGAATGGTAGAAGATACCAAGGGGGTATATAATAAAACATATATAATAAACATATATAATAAAACATAATCATTAATGGTGAGTTTTAAGAATTTTTGAACAAATACGATTGTGTTTTCCTTATTTTAATAACCAACAATTAATTATCTACCAACTTGGAAAAATCAAATTATTTCTTAACCTCATATGTTATTTGGATAAAAGTTTTGTAGGTCCAAGGTATGACAGGTAAAAAAATTTATCAAATGAACGGAATATATTTTTTTTTAATTTTCAAACCTATTAATTTCCGATGTCAAATGATAGCCTACTTTACGCTTATTCCAAAAATATATGGTTTTTATGCCCCACCACGATAGTAGAGGGGCATTATGTTTTTCGGTCTGTGCGTCCGTTCGTTCGTTCGTCCGTCCGTTCGTTCATCCGTCCATCCGTCTGTCCCGCTTCAGGTTAAAGTTTTTGGTCAAGGTAGTTTTTGATGAAGTTGAAGTCCAATAAACTTGAAATTTAATACACATGTTCCCTATGATATGATCTTTTTAATTTTATTGCCAAATTAGAGTTTTGACTCCAATTTCACGGTCCACTGAACATAGAAAATGATAGTGCGAGTGGGGCATCCGTGTTCTATGGACACATTCTTGTTCTATATACTTTTGCTTGAAATAAGGGAGATAAGTTCCTACTTCCGCTTTACACAATTTCACTTTTGGTATCATCTGATAGGTTACTCTACACTGATTCCAAAAATATATGGTTCTAGGTACTTTTCAATGAAATCAGTGTAGCAAATGGCTAACTGATAACATAAGGTCACTTCCGGTTTCAACTAAGGTTTCAACTCCCTCAGGCAAAGTTGACCTTAGATGCATTTGGCTATTTTTTAGGTATTTTTTGTCATAGACTTCTTCAACTGTTTCGGTACTTATACATCCTCCGCTTTCAAATATTCGGCTTTGAGCGTTCTTGATGAAGGTAAATCCAGAAAAGCGCTTCGGACGCATGAAATTATTAAACGTGTTGTTTTTTTATTTTTTCCGACTGACCTTGTCAATGTCATATGTCTACTTACCGAATTCAAAAGACCCCATGGCTTTATCATGTACAAATATGAATTTATAGCAAAATTCAAAATCTAGCCTTGACCTTAATTTCAAGGATATAAAGCAAGGACCTGAAATCAAAAGACCGTAGGTCTCTACTATATATGGTTAATGAGATATCTCTATACAGCTAATTTTAAACATTACAGGGGAGAAGACTCCCATTAAATGTCAACAATTTTTTTTAACCAAAATATATATCTTACAACATGGTGGAACTAACAGTTTAGTAAAAATATTTTGTTGATGTCTTGTACGGTTTTTAACATTTTTAGTAGAAGCGATAAATTTAAAGCCCTGTAAAGATAAGGTTGAACACATCAAGTGGACACAAGAACCGATAAAAGTATTGGGAATATATTTTGGACTTAATAAAAATTAGTGTAAAAAAAAATAAACTTGCAACGACAGTACGAAAAATTTGCAAAATATAATTTAAGACTGGAATAAAAGAAAATTAACTATGCTAGGTAAAATAACTCTTGTTAAATCATTTATCCTACCGAATATCATTTATGTTGCACCAGTAACGGAAATTGATAAAGAATATCTCGCAAAATTAAAACAAATAATTTATAGTTTTATATGGAACAATAAACCAGGAAAAGTTAAAAGAGTTATAATAAGTAAAAATTATCATGCTGGTGGGCTTAAAATGAAAGACATAGATAAATATATAGAATCCATAAATATTAATTGGGTAAAAAGACTCATTGATAATGAAGAACAATCACCCATTTGGAAAGTCTTACCAAAATTTTACTTCGACAAATTTGGACAAGAATTCCTTATATTTAAAAGGAACTTTAACAATATTAATTTGATTAATAAACTAAAAGAAATTGTTCCAGAATTTTGCTTAAAGATAATCATATCATGGATAAATTCAAAATCTGAAAAAGAATTAGTTCGACTATCATATAAACATATTGGACAGCAACTTATATGGGGCAATAAACATATCAAATTAAATGGTAAATGTCTTCTTTTCAAAAATTGAATAAACAGTAAAATTTTATTTGTAAATGATATAATTGATGATAAAGGAAAAATTAAACAAAAATCAAAATAAGATTTTAGATAAACTATCTTGCCTTGCTAATTGGTTTTCAGAATATTCTAAATTGATGAAAGCAATACCAAAACAGTGGTTACAAGAGCTAATAAAAGAAGAATCAATAAAAACAAAAGTTGCTACCGACTCCGAATTTAAATTTCAAGATAGAGAAGGAAAAATGGTATCAATAAAAACATTTTCCCCCAAAGATATTTACATCTCCCTTTTAAATACTTCTATGTTGTGATGTTACACTATTGTTTCAGAAAAAGGATGAAGGTTTGGTATCATTAAAACGTTTAAACCCGCTGCTATTGTTAGCACCAGTCCTAAGTCAGGAATCTGATGTTCAGTAGTTGTCGTTTGTTGATGTGGTTCATAAGTGTTTCTCGTTTCTCGTTTTTTATGTAGATTAGACCGTTGGTTTTCCCGTTTGAATGGTTTCACACTAGTAATTTTAGGGGTCCTTTATAGCTTGCTGTTCGGTGTGAGCCAAGGCTCCGTGTTGAAGACCGTACTTTGACCTATAATGGTTTACTTTTATAAATTTTGACTCGGATGGAGAGTTGTCTCATTGGCACTCATACCACATCTTCTTATATCTAATTAGTAGATATTATGAGAAGGCAATAGGATTTCAAAAATAAGACAGAATTCTTAATTTAGATAACAATACAGGGAAAAGAGAACAAATGTTGAACTTTATCTTTAACTATATCCAAGATAATAAATTGAGATTAAGATGGAAATTTCTACATTACATTTTACCAACCAAACAATTACTTTTCTCTTGGAAAATAACTAAAACTCCTTTATGTTATATATGTAATGTCATTGAAGATTATTAACATTACTTTTTGACATGCAAATATCTGAAATTATTTTGGGATCAAATAAAACTAATACAAGATAAACTTAAAACAGGACATCATATAATATCACTTTCATCACTTTTGTATGGATACAAGATAAACGATACAAATTATTACAATATTAACGATTTTCTAACAATTATACTTTTTACTATATATAAAGTATATTATATATCCGAGCAGAAAACAAAACAAATTAATGTGTTTGAAATTTAAAAAAATGAACTTCTCCAACATTACGAAATATTGACAAATAAAGAAGGCAAATATGAAAACTTATACAATTTGGTTGCAGAAAAAATTAATTTATCTTCTTAAACTAAAATTTATAATATATCATATTACTTTCTTTTAATCTGTTGCATATTATTTATTAGCTAAACTGTATATTGTGTACTACATGTAACAAGTACTAACCTTATAACTGAAATGCTATATACTAACGTTAACGAGGCCGGGATAAGGTACCGGTACTTTATGTATGTCTAACAAATGTAAATTTCAAATAAAATTATATACAATTAAACAAAAAAAAAACCAAAAAAAAAGAAGCAATAATAAGCCAGCATCAATATTAAGAACATGACCTTGACCTTTGACCTTAACCTCATTTTTTTTTGGTGGACCATAGGTCTCTTTTGGTTTGCCAGTTACAAATACCTTTCACTTAAATCAAATACGGAAGGGGGAATAACTCTCATATGGAATACCTGTATCGCTTTGGTCCAAATTTTACAAAATATACTTAACTTTGACCTATAATTGTTAACTTTTTATACATTGTGACTTGGATGGAGAGTTGTCTCATTGGCACTCATACCCCCATCTTCTTGTTTATATTAGGATATAACGAGCAATTTGGAAAAATAAATTTGTTGGTTTCTTTTACGGTTGCAAAGAAGTAGAGATATCAAGTAAACCAGTGTTCAGGGAGATAACTCTTACAAGGAAATTTTTTAAAGTGTACGGTTAAACGGTGTCAGATGAAGGATTTGAGAATATGTTTACCTGTTTAACTAATTCATTTGTTTAGTAATATAATTTGCTATTTAGTTGTAATCATCACAATCCTAACAGTGAAGGAGCCACTTTATATGAACAGCCAGTATTAGTTGTTTTTTGAATACCATATTGTTTACACTAGAATTAGTCGTGTCTTGGCGGTTTTGTGCTATTTTGGAGAGGTGATGTTAGTGCCAGATCTGTTACGGTTTCACCCCTTAAACCTGGTTTGCCCACTTTTAATTACCCCAATTTTCCATTGGTTATATAAACAAAAAAACCAAAAGGTTAACTGATTGGAAAATTGTATAGTCTGTTCCAGTAATGTTGCTATTTTATATGTACGTATATGTCTGTAAAATTCTATAGGATAAGTTTGTATGCAATTGATGCATATTAAAATGTATTTTTTTTCTTCAAATATTTGGTTGTGAAATTTTCATTGAATTGATTCTTTGAAGGAGATAAATGAAAATAAATAATAAATTGATTTTGATATATATATATTTTTAATAGCACTAAAACAATTAACATTG